AGATATTAGTAAACAGTATTTGCTCATTCTATATATAACAGTAAGGTGTGTTCACACTTCTAACCTCAATTATATGATTATAAAGCAGCAGTTACGATTATTTTCTATGGTGTGTTTATAATATTATTCGTAGATTTCCCCTTAAAGATATGAGTGCACCGTTAGATGCAACATTTGTCCTCATTTTTTTTTATTGATGTTCTAATAAAAATGTTTAATTGTTCAATGGGGCACTTTTTATTTCAAAGTATCTTCTATTCATTGGTTATGTTGAAAATGCCCTAGCTGTCAATTTTCATACAATTTTTACAATTGTAAGAAGTTGAAGCGCTCCGGTCACCAATGACCATGGCAGTCAAAGTGCTAAGATTCGGTTCTACACTTATATCTTGAACATTCCTTGCATGTTAGACGACTTGCCTGCTAGACGACTGTGCATTTCAGTGGATTAATAGCTACAAATAGCAGATATAAATGTGATCGTTGTCAATGAAGTTCCCACACAGTTACGTAATAACAGTGTACGAAACAGCGTTTAACTTGGATGAAGTAGATTCGGAGGAAGCGAGAGAAAAAGACGGAGAAAGCTATAGGAGTTGGAGGGACGCGGTTGACGGGCCCATGGGACGTCTCTTACCCCATGTGGGTTCAGTGACAGGATGACACATTCCGCCGTGAAAGTTTTAGGAGAGCGGTCCTGTATCAGCGGTTCAGTCAGAAGAGCTTATATCGAGGGCGCCACCTGCGGCCACCCGCGACATCCGTTCTGTGCCGTGCATCAGATCAGGAAATCTTCATCTTGATCGAACTTCCCTCACGTCTCATAGTTCTGATTCTCACTGTCGGCCGATCTTTTTCACCTGAACGCCCTCGTGCATCGGTCCTCTCGCTCTCCTCGTACGTCGATATTCGTTAATTCGGGTTTGATGATAATGTTGCCTGCGAATTGGGTCCAGTATGTTAGCTGTCGCTGTCCTTTTTGGTATCTTTCACTTTGGGTTTACGTATGTTTGTGTGTTTGCGTTATCTCTTACGTCGCGTTTTTGTAAATTGTTAAGGTTAGGCTACACAGAGTTTGTTATTTCGAGATTAGAGTTTCATTTTTTAGAAATTAAAGTATATCATAGCATAAAATTGATTTAACCTTTATCCTATTGATTTAAACAAATTTTCATAAGAAAATGGCTTCTCATAATAAAACTCTGCAAATATCTTGCGTCGAGATTCGACTCTGCAACTTTGCCCTTCGTAATTTAAGCGGCTGTTACTGAAATTAAACCAAGCTGCTTCTCGAACTTGAATCTTGCTTCCTAATTACCTAAAGAATTCTTACTAAAATCAAACCGGTACACTATGATCTCCAAAAAGAAAAAAAGGAAAGAAAAAAGCTAACCTGTTCGGAAGTTAGAATCGATATAGAAATTCTTCAGATATCTGCAAAGCGACGAACCACAAGAATTCGTCTGAAAGAGGCGACTGTTGGTTGATGAGGCGTGTGATTCGACGTTCAAACGATTCCAGTCACTTTTAATGTTATTTTCCGGGATCAGGCTGGTAAATTCGAGTTTAGCCGAGTCTAATGTTCGGATAAATATCAGCAACTGGGCTTCTTTATTCTCCCTCTGCGGCCTGGACACGCGTAAACTTTACTCTGGCTAATCCTCTTAAACAATTACAAACCAGTCGATCGGTCTGGTACCTATCTCGTCGTGGCGCCACGCTGCGTTTTGACGTGGGATGAGGCACCTGCATTGTCATGCTAAGCCGCAGTCGCCTTGCTGCAGTTCCCTTTTATCTGCGACCAACAACATCTTGTCCTCTTCCCTCGCTTCGTCTTCGCCTTACTATACTGAACTTGGTCTGTGCCGAACTTTCGCAGGATGCGCCAAACTTGCTGATTCGAAGTCTGTATTTTTTACTGTGTGGAATTTGCCTGCAATTGGAAATGGTTTAGATAACAGAATTTCACGAGGAAGAAGATTTTTGTAAGAAAGACAATAAGAGACCTTTTTTTTTTTCATTACATATTCTTACAAAATCTACGAAAGTCCTCTTGCATGATACTTTATTTACTGTACTATAAATTTATTTGCTATAAAACATACCTTAAATTGGAAAATAAGTTTCGAATATTCGTTTGGAATAACTTTGTGTCTATTCGATTCGAGGTTATGAAAATGATCGATTGTTTTTCGTACGTAATCAGTTCCTTAGTCGAATATCGATAAAGATCGACCATCTTTTTAATTTTCAAATGTTAACCTACACCTAACCTAACAATTTCACACTGTGATTATTAAATATTCGTAACATTCTTAAAAAATGTCCATTTTGTAGGAAATTATACGACCAACTAAAATTAATTTCAATATGTTTAAACGATCCATGTTGTACCATTTACAGTAACAATGGCCTAATTCATAATTAAAAATTAAACCATAATATATAACAATTAAAAATAACATGGAGCAACCTGTACAAGAAAGACATCTAAACCTATCACAGACAATTTAATTTTTGTGCAGATTAAACAACAAATCTGTTGAGAAATGCTAGGTTGGTATGATCGCTTGTTACTGCAAGCTAAGTTGGTAGGACTTCTAACGACGCTCTTTTGTCTTAGAAGTCGACCACGTGTTAATTGACCGAGTGTATTCTGTGTGTTAAGACGTGTTGTACGAGGCGGAGAAATATATGGAGAAAATCGAATCCCACATCAATTAACAAAATCGTATGCAATTAAAACTTTCAGTTTATATGAAAAATAATACACAAGCAACCACAATCAGATAAAAATGTTCGCACTCGCGATTTCTCTTATTGTTCGGAATTTCGTGGAACAATAGAAACAAACGGAAGAGAAGCGCACGAAACGCGTGGATTCGCGTGCACTCGACGAAACATTCAGTAAATACACTCGATTACGCTCGCATTCGTGGGCCGACGAGAGGCCGCACGGTTAGACCAGCAATCGAGCAACTCTCATACCGAATGATCGATGACTCCATTGTGCGGGCTTTCCCATGTCCCTGCTACGATTTCGTGCGAGCGGCATACAAAAAGCCGCCGCCATTCCGAAAATGGCCAGAATTATGGAAAATTCGAGCTGGAAGATCGATCGACCGATGGCATTCGCACCCCGTGATTTCACCCCGTGTCTCGTGCAATCCGATATTTGTGCGTTGAATTTTCGATTTCCGTGCCGAGTTGTGCTCCGATGACAGTTTTCGAGATCGTTTCGGGAAAACGACATCTGCATCACGTTCAAACGTCAAAGGAAGATGTTATAGATTTGGACAATAGAAAAAGTTGTACGATGAATTCGAAAAGTGCGATGATTGAGATAACCGTTACGTTCGCCGATTTACGCACTCAAAATGAGAATTTTATTGAAGAGGCTGAGTACCGAAATGGTGCTAGAACTGAACAGAAAGGATAATGTTCTAAGTGGAGAATTTCGTCTAAAGTGTCCTTTAGATGCGACGATCGATGCGAATTTGCACCGAATGATTCGAGAAAAATAATGGACTTTGACAAGGACGTCTTGTTCTGTTATTGGTACGTTTATTATCGCACTTATTATCGTATTTTTAAAGGTGATATTATTGAAAAGTATATTGAAATTTTAATTTAGTTCAATGAAAATAGTGGCACAAGATTTACGAATGATACCTAACCTTGAAAAAATTTTATTGGAAGTTTTAAGCTTCAATTATCAATAAACTATGAATTATATATCTGCTCTTATTATTATTATTATATTATTATATAATATCATTATATTCTGTCTATTTTGAAACTTCAGAATTAAATAATTGAAATTTATTCTCCTGGATGCTTAGAACCTCCCTTTTGTTAACATCACTAAATAAATCTGTTATCTAACAACTGATAAGAATTCCACCAAAACACAAGGCACAAAATTCCCTCTTAACGTGGCGCTATTCAATCATCAAAAATCAAAATAATTTGTATTTTATTCGCAATTTGAATCTTCCAGATTCAGAAATGTTGTCCAATAATCCACAAACAACGTTGATAGTCGCTTTGACGAAATTCGCGTGTAAAATACGAAAGGAGAAATGGGTTCAGCTGGAAATTTGTTCGTTGGAGAATCCAGGCGGAGTAGGAAGAGGCGCGAGATTTTTGTTCCTCGAGGGAACCATCTTCTCGTCAAAATTCCGCCCATTCAGAGCTAAGCTTCCTTCCTTTTATTTCACGTGGCTTCCTGACTTTTGCCTTCGTGCTGGTTAGAATAGAGACGATCGACCGAATAATAGCCAGTTATCTCGCTTTTATGAAGATAAACTTCTCGCAGAATGGCAACGTTTTTCGTGTCTGAATAGACAGCTGTCTGTCCATCGGCAACCACCCGCTGAATTGTTGTGACTGGATGTTTGACTGACAAGAGGATCGACTCTAAAGGCGTCACGCTCGAAATGAAACGTCTTGTTGGGAACGCGACACCGAGTTTCCAAGATTCTTGCTGAAAATCAGATGCTAAGTGCATCTAATTCGTTTCGACTATTCAGTGTTACTCTTGTACTCGGGTATTTGGTATTGAAAAATTGGCAAAATGGCATTTAGTTAATATCTGGTCGAATAAAAATTTTCAAGGAAGAGAATGAAACAGAAGGGCGCATTTTCAATGGAACTTTAACCTTTCACTTTCTAAGTAGATAAATTTAGGATGGACATCTAAATTACACAAACAGCGAAAATTGATTAATAATTCAATATGTTGGAACGATCCATGTTGTATTATTTACAGTAGCAATGGCTAATTCGCAATTAAAAATTAAATGTTTTTTATGGTTCTTAATTGTATAGAGTAGTGTAGATTAATATAGATTAGTACATAGTAGTATATAGTATTATAGTAGTATAGATAGAGTAGTATAGATAAATTTAGAATAATTAAGAACCATAAACACATTTAATTTTTAATTCTGAATTAGCCATTGCTATTGTAAATGATACAACATGGACCGTATTACAACATATTGAATTATTGGTTAATTTTCGCTGTTCCTATAATTCTCTGCAATGTGGATCTCACCATAGCAATCTTTTGTATGTAACATGAAAAATTCAATATCTCTTTGCTAATTCTAAAAGGAAAAATTCCAAAAGAAGCAACTGAGGCAGAAACGAGGAAAACCTATAAAATAACTCATTTTTGTTTATTGTTCGCTTTGTTATCTCTTATAAATTAATACCAGAAAGCCTATAAAAGTCCTGTAATAAAAAGTCCTAAAAATGATTAAATAGGGAAATGTAATAAAGCAGTGTTGCCAGACGTAGAAAGGAAAGGCGAAATGGACATGTCGGCATTAAGGAAAGCTTCGATCGTAGAATGACTGTGCACTGGGCTCGATCTGCCCTTTCATTTGACCTGACTCACTCGCAGGCTCGAACTACGCGCTAGATTGTATCATCGTAAATATTGAATAAATGTAATTAGCCATCGGTGGGCGGAATGGTGCGTGCAAACGGTGGCGAATGTTCGAGCTGGCACGATTCCGATCGGATTACAATTTCTACGCGGTCCAATGCTTTTGGTTTTGTAAATTGCCCTTTTTCAGATCGAAGATAGCAGCTTAAGCAGTTTTTTCCAGGCAAAAGCTGACTTCGCGCGGGTTACGCTCTCGCGTGTCGACTTTGATGGCTGCTGGATACGTCTGTGCGCTAGTGTGCGTTTTTCTATGTACAATCGATGGGGTTAGGTTGGAAATGTCACTCGATCTATTTAGAATGATCGTGTGCTTTGAAAGTACCACGGGGAATTGAAATTTCTGGTCATCTAATTTCAGATAATTTACTTTTTCTCTGTATTTGTATGTACAGGATGTAAAACATGTGTAAAACGAATCCATGCAACAAAACAAATATCGTGGAGAAAATTATCGTGTTTGACAAATCAAGCAAATTTTCTATCCTCTTTTTTCTTTCTATCGTGTTTATTTTAACATCAGAACTACCGATAGTTAAGACGAAGCTGTTTCTACTAAAACCAGTCAAAATAACTGGTCTTTTAAAAATACCTAATAATAGAATATTTTTATATTTATTGATTTATTACTTTCTTACAGAAGGAATTTCATGTTATGTAGTATATCTTTCGTATTATTAATCCATCCGGGGCCATCATCCCCAAACGAGGGTCGACACATTTATAAAATTGTAGAACCAGTCATTTCGACTGCTGTGGTATTGCTAGTCTTAGCATCTAGCGATCTAGCGATCGATCCGGAATTTTCCTGATAATTGATATCGTCATATCGAATGATACGCAGTAAAAATGGTAAAAACGTGTGGCAGGTTGTACAAAACGAGGAAACTGGTTAATTGGGAGTCGATAAACAGATTGCAGCACCCTCTTACACTTTGACAAGAACTAATTATATCGACTGGTATTGATATAGGTAGCCTTGGTACAAAATTATTTTCAGTTTGAATATATATAAAAAAAAATATAAAATTCATTATATTATTCTTTTAGTTACGCGAAAGTCATTACATTATTGCGGAAAAAATATAACAGGAAGTAGGAATTTTAAAATGAAATTATAAAACCAGTCAATTTGACTGGTGTGATAGTTCTGGTGTTAAAGCTATCATCAAGGTTATGATTTATTTTTTAAATGTTTCAAAGTACATAAAAAATGGTATATGTCTGAACTTTTATAGGAAACACAAACAGCGCTTAATATGTTGAGAGTTCTAAATTCAGAGCCGCGGGGGGCTCGTGTTTCCTTGTGGAACGAAGGGTGCGCGCTCGATTTGCCCTATGACGCACGAGTATCATAGCCCGGGCAAGGAGAGCGTGTATCCGCAGTAATAAAGTTAGCGCGGTAATTATGACAGGCTCGTTACCAGCACGTCGCAACGGGATATGAAGTGTTAATGAATGGACGCGTCGAACCAAGGGGTGGCTGGTACCGTCGTGTAATTTTCATTCGCCCGTAAACAAGCCTCGAACACAGCAACTCGCTCTTCCTGTTCAATTTTCAGTACCGTTGTTTGTACTTACATTTTAATCTATTTTTCGTGTCAATGTCTTTTTTCTTTCTATCATGTTTATTTTAAAGATGTGTTGACGATGATCATAATTTATTTTTTAAATATTCCAAAGTATACAAAAAATGGTAAATCTTTTAACTTTTACAGAAATTATTAGAAACTATTTTATACAACATATTTTATAGAAATTCATTTTCTTTCTTCAAATGTGCTTAATTGAATTTATTACCGTGTTTTTGTGGAAATTTTTCAACATGATTTCAAGAAATGGAATATAAGCAGAGATTTGTCTCATCTACCAAGTATCGTAACTAATACTTTTGAATATTTAACATGTTTTTCTATATTTTGTGTATTATGTACGTACTTAAATTTTCTGTAAGTGCAGAAACGCGCACGGTTCAATAATTATAATATTAGGTTGCGCGAAAAGTGTGTTTCCTTTACAGACACGTCTTTTACAACGATGCATCTGAAACCTAATCTGAAACCTAAATCTCTGATAGAGCAAAATGGATCATACGTAATTCGATAAAATAATATAAAATTAAATTAAAGTTAAAGAACGAAAGAAGCTTTTCGAACGACTTAATACAACAGTCTAATAATTAAATATACAATATATAATATACCTAATTATAATTACACAAATATGCTTAATATACCCAGAACAGTTTGCCAAATTATGAAACAATATACAGGGAACGTAAAAATGAAAAAGTTTCGAAATAAAAGCAACAAGCTTATCGATCTATTGATCTATCGGTCTAAGATACCAGTGTCCTATTAGAGATCGCGGATTCTCATAAGGTGTAAACGCATTATCGGTCATCGTCGAGATAAGAGGAAATGCGCAGTGGCCCTGATAAAGTCCGATTTTAATTTAATCTAGCCAGGTTAAGCTTTCTTAATTCCATCGATAGATAGCGGATGCTGAGATCCCGGACTGCTCGTAGATAAGAGATAACGCTATCTCTATCCTCTTGTAATCGTCGCTGATCTGCTGATTTCGTGTTGCTCGCGGTTGCCGCATAGATTGCAAGATTAGACTTCCTCGAGTTGTTTACTTTTCTATTTCAGCCTTGTCACTGTCTCATTCTATTAAGTTTATTAATCATATGAAATTCTTATGTACAAACGCCAAGACCAACGACGAGACAATTTTGGTAACCTTTCAGTGACCTTGGTTTACAGATCCATCACCAGACTGCCGATTGTTCTGCATTTAAGGCAAATTTGAAGGTGCAAGAATGTACAGGATGTACGTAGTATACAAACGTATGTAGAATATCCACAGTACAAAACTCGTTACGTAGGTACAATATCTAGCGGATGAAACAATTTCCTTGTAGGTGTCATGAATTCACAAAAATAGGAGTTTTTGCAAGAATATTCGCAATATACTTATCACATGTGGTGATTAGTTTTTTTTTCCAAATAATCTTCTTTCCTTCTTCAAATAATCCTCAACTTTTTTTGCTAGAAATTTCACAATGTAAATTGGGTTTTCCTCCGACTAAATCCTCTCTGTTCTTCAAATAATCTGAAAACAAATAGTTCCTAAAACTAAATCCACGCTATACTGTACATATACTGTATGTAACACAAACATCCTAATTCCTTTCAGATTCTCTTACTTTCCAACTCTCTTTTCCTCAAATTCTCTTCCTTTCAACCGCTAGATACGCACCGGGCCCGATTCAAGGATGTTCCCGTGGCTGTCAGAACGAGAGCTGCTCACGAGATCGAGGTCGTCGTTCCCTGGCGTCCTACAGGATCGCGTCCGTCTTGAGGGTCGGTGAGGGGCACGGGGGTGGGCAAAGTTTGATTTCCGCGTCATTACACAGGCGTGAAACTGGTCCCCGAGTTAATTGAATGCAGCGTGTGTTGACAGGTAGGCATATTGGCAGGCAGACACGAGAGAGAACGAGAGGAAGAAGAAAAGGACGGAGAAAGAAGACGAGACGGAGTTGGCTGACCAAGGTTTGTGTCAGATGCGGTTGCGATATCGGTCCCACGTCCACGGCTCTTCCAAGTCGTGTACCTGTCATTTTCGGTGACCGTGTCATTCAGTCCGTTCTTCCTTTTCACGGATCCCTTTCTTCTAACTAGCCAGCGCAGTCGGCAACGGGATCGCCGATACCGGGACGCGTTCCACCGATATACCCAGCCTAGACCCGCATCCGAGATAACACGAAGATACCTGAACTCGGTCCAACTGTATATGCCAATGATACACGCTGCTATAAGAATCGAATCACAGCCGTCTTCTCATTGTTTGTTTTTGATTCTTTCTTTGGAGCGCAGGCTGACGTGATATGCGTTGATGCTTACAAAGATCTACAATGAAAATTTGAATGACAACTTGGAATTGGTTTGATGGCGCTTACCTGACATTGGTGCGAGCTTGTTGTATGCCAAATCTGATGTTTTCCAGAAGCATGTTGTTAACCTTTGTTTGTCTGCATCGAATATGATATGAATCATATTGTTGTATTCATGTTAGGCTTCAAACAATGGCAATCCATTTTCCATGGCAATCGCACAGTATAATAGAATTATCTTGCGATCATTCTTTTCAAAGAACGATAGGTATATCTGGCTTGATTCAGGATGAATTGATCCAAGTTGCTGGAAGTTGAATATTTCACAGATTCTGAATTTGGAAATAGGAGTTTGAAAGAAGTGTGGAACTAGAATAAGCGCATTTAAGTTCATTGGAAAAATTGGAAAAATACTATATATGAAAATTAGAATTTTGAAAGTTGGTATAATCAGGGCCGGCGTGATCTTTTGAGGGGCCTGAATACACATTCAAATTCTACGCTTGAATTTTACAACGAGGAATTATTTACTTACAAGTGATGCTACAGATTATATACTTTTTATAAGCAGCATTTTTAAACAAATCCAAGTAATATTTTTTCGCATGCATAATTCGCTTTCAAGGGGGAAAAAATTCAATGAAAGTAGAAAATCTGTGATCATTGTATGACTTTTGCAAAAAACTATTGATGTAGCTTAATTTCTCTAAAAAGTACACTTCTCCGAAAGCGCCTGGATTTTTTTTTATCTAAAGTAGTTTCCAGGATATGACGACACTGAATTTTCATGATTTTCATCGCTACTGCAAAAATGTCTTGCATCTGTTAAAGGTATCGTCATTCTGTAAAAAGTTAATCAAAATCAGTGTTTTTTAATTGGGTAATTTTCGTAGACCGCGGGGCCTCTCAAAACGCAGGGCCGGGTTCCGGCGAACGCGCTGTACCTGCTTTGCTCCGGCCCTGAGTATAATATCGTCTTCTTGGGAGACATTAATCTATTCATATATTTCTAAATATTTTTTAACCGACATATACTTGTTATCTTTAATCGTACGGATATTGGAGAGGGTTGTGTTTAAATCTGACATTTCCGAAGGAATATTTTAAATTTGGAATTTCATGACGTGTTATATCGTAAGTACGATGAATTTTAAGAGCATACTATATCTGAAACAACGTATAGAAAAATATTATAGAATCAATCGTATGAAATTTGTATGGAATATGGGGTGCCAGGTACCTTATAACTCTTCTTTATCATCTTTGTCCCAGCATTCCTTTATCAATGAGCTTGGAATCTCTATAATCGGTGTCCATTATCGCCACTTCATTGTTCCTCGAGCACAAAGAATAGATATAGACAGAATTCTGATAAATTTCGATCAGCGAGTATTGTTCGAACATTATTCTATCGTATGTTGTTTTCGACATCGAGTGGAATTGGATAATCGATCGAGCAACGATACGATTCCACGATATCGAGAGTTTATTTTCGCAATGTGCGGCGATCACGCGTGTATTTGACGCATAGAACGAGAATCATATTGGAAATAGACGTTTCGAAAATCGAAAGACAGCTCGAACTGACCTCGGTTTCTCTTTCAGATGTTTATCTGAGATGTTAATTAATCCCACTCGAGGATGCATGAGAAAGTGAGCATGCCATCAGTAGAAGATAATGATCCGGTTTCGAAGCTCTAACCTGGTGATTCTCCATCGTCATCGTTACGATCGCGACACACTCGCTTTCTAGCGTGCCTGGCGTTCCTCGAATCTTATCAGCGTCCAAGTTGGTCGAATTACTTTGTCCTAATATCGATCGTGAATCGCTTGAAATTCGTTTAATAGAAAATCTAGATAATTACTGTCGAACAACACGATGCTCATTGCTTCTGTCATTTTTTATTCAACATTATCAACAGGATGTTTATGCGTCCGTGGGAAATATTGGATTGGCAAATAATTAATTATTGCGAATTTTGTTACTACCACCTAATGACAAAATCAATATCACTTTTTTCACAACAATTATTGAAACAATTTCATTTCTCACAACAATTATGAAAGGAGAATTCACTGTTAAGATAGTGTTATTGGGTTGGCAACTAAGTGATTGCGAATTTTGTCATTAGGTGGCATTGATAATCACTTAGTTGCCAACCCAATATAAAACCGCAAAAATGCAAAAAATGTAAACAATATGAATGGTATATTAAATATCTAATATATGTATAGTATTCATTATGGTATTTAGTGGATGCAGAAAATCTCTGCTTATTCACAGTCTAATTATTCGGATTTCATAACTTTTTCAAATTCACCCATAATTGATAAGGTAAAATCTATGCAGACCTAGGAATTTTTATTTTCACAATTAATTTGGAAAATATTATTCATAAGATATTTTATTGTCAATCAATATAATTATAATTTGACGACTACCAGTGTATGTGAAACTCACAATTCGTTCCTTCGTTACCTTTTTCGAAACCTTTCGTTAATTGCTATACATATCTGTCTATATGATAAAATCATTACTATATCAATTACGAGTTAAAAATGTTATATTATCTACGCAGAAAAGTTTGAGGAAGACAGAAGGCAAGTTTTGTAGCTAAAAAAGCTACGGCTTTGAGATACGGATTCTTAATGCTGTAGTCCTGTCGAAAATTCTTCAGTCTGTGGGCATGTTAGGCCAGGTACACGGGAACTCTCTGGAGAGATGCGGCCGGACGTACCTACATGATCCTACACTTTGTGCGACCTCTTGTCACGTCCCTAAGGATTCGTATTCCTAGTCACGCGTTTAATCTCTCGAAACATGCAACCGTCTTGCAGTGGTTTGATGCTTTGGGACCAAAGTTTGCTAGGAATATTTGTACGTGTTGTGAGAGTAAAAATGGGCAAAGGAAAAAAAATTCACGGTATAGATGTTGGTCATGGTAAATTCAAGTTATGTAGTTTTCGTATGAACTCCATGAGGATGCATGATTGTACGAGGATGTTGGAAAAATGTAAGATACACGCAAAACATCAAATTAAAAGTATAAAAAAATACAGATAAAATTAGAAAAAATTAAAGATGACTGAAGATAAATAACACGACTTGAACGTGAAATTAAAAATTCATAATGCATTTTAATATTTTTTTACAGCGTGGTATCGTTCGATTATAACCTTATTTAGTCATAACTGACAGTTTAATTTTTTCATTAATTTTAACACCACTAAATTGGTGTATTTTGTTATATACTGTACTTTATGAAAGCAGAAAAAGTGGCGCAATTAATTGGCAACAATTTCAGGTAAATAATAACTAATAATAACACCAAGGAAAAAGAAAACGCGTTGCTAAAGTGAAAAAGGGAGATCTCGTTCGGTCAGGATGTTCTTCACAGAGTGGAGGTTTCCCTGCTCGGTTGGCTAAGTATTAAAAGTACGATACGAAAGAAGAACAAGCGAAGAACACGATGCTGATAGTATTACAACGTCTGAAAATTAATTTTAGTCCTTAAATTGTAAATATCGACAAATTGATATGTATGAGACTTACTAAACACCTAATTTAATGGGACGAGTAACGTAAAAGAGGAATATTTTACTAAAATCGTACACCAGGAGCCTGGATTTCGTGTTTTAACTTTATACACATATAATTCTGTTCTATTATACCCAAAAGTTTATATATCAATTTGATAATACTTCGTAACCCACTCTGTATATCAGCAAAAAAAAAAGAAAAATTGGTATTGTTCATCTGATTCTTTTCTTAAAATTAGTCTCGATAAATAAAATGTAACTGAAACTTCAGCAAACACCATAAAACTTTCGTATTTGCAATCAAACAAACTTCTAATGACTTTCTTTTAAATACTTCAAAGTCTAACACCATCGCACATGCTCTCGCCAAATCAACTAGTAGACAAGTCCACGTAAAACTGTCCAAATTAGAAACGTGTTTCTGCATCGATGCCTTCGGTGGAATTCTACAGAATTTAACGCATCGCACAGAAGCCAAGAAAAGCCTCGGCAGGATTCTCAGAAATCTTTATCCTATTCTCGTATACCGTACCAAGGCCCTACAGTTGTTGCTCTCGTTTTCTAACCTCGAAGGCAAAGTGAGCACCGAAGATGGTCCCAGGAAGTCCTCGACTGAAGGTATCGGTGTCGTGGCAGTTCTATGGAATACTTTGTGGCGGTGAACACGTCGTCGAGCGGAGGTGAACAGGTTGTCAATGGGAATTTCTGAACGTTGGACGTCTGTAGGCCTCGGGACCAGGGGTGTATCCTTGGGGACAGATGCGTCACCGCGAACAACGCGAGCGGATGCCCGTGTCGCCGTCGCGTCTGCCGCCGTCGCTGTCTCCTCCTCTTTCATTTTCTTTTTCTCGCCCCCTCTCTGTTCCTCTCGAGTACTTTCGTCTCGTTTCCTTTGCCCAATTAGTATCTATCCGTTTCCTCGCGTATCTACGTATCGCGGTTCCGAGACCCGTCGCTTCGCTCCTTCTTCTTCTCGTCGAGAAATCGTCACGCTCCTTCTCTTCTTATTATTTTTATGCATCACTAGCTCACGATAGCCAGTCCCGATGCTCGTGTCGTTCGTTGGAAACTATAAACGATCGTTGATACGCTGGACCTACTCGTTGGCCATTGACGTTCTTTCAGTAATTTGTTTGAGAAAAGTGATCTGCTATGCTTGTCTCGTCAGGTGTTTTTCTAGCAACGTAATGATATTTCCGAGAAGACTAATGATCCATAAAACGTTTATTCATGATAATGTACAGTTCGTTTATCTGCAGTCTATTTATACCTAGGGAATTTTAGTTAGTATCTGATTACATGGATTTCTACTGACTGAATCTACTTATGTGAACGTGCCTAGCATGTATAGTTGGCAACTAAGTGATTGCGTATTTTAAATAAGAAGGAAAATTACAAATTTCTGCTTAAAAATATAACTTTATTCGATTAGGTATTGTCCGTTTTTGTCGATCATCTTTTGCCATCTTTCAGGCAGTGTCGTAATTCCATGTCCATAAAACTTTTGATTTTTGCCAGCAAACAACTGAATTATGTGGATGTGACAACACATAACAATTTAGTTCTAATAATTTTTGGAGAGTGACCAAAGACGCGTGAGACGTTGCATTATCATGATGGAAAACAATACCCTTACGATTTGCCAATTCCGGCCGCTTTTCTCGAACTGCGTCGCTCAGTTTGACGAGTCGTTGAACGTACACGTTTCAATTAATCGTTTGGTTTCTTGATAAAAGTTCAAAGTGCAGAATTCCTTTATAACCCCACCAAACTAACAGCATAACCTTTTTTTCGTGAATCTCAACTTTTGGTGTCGTCTGGGCTGGTTCATCTTGCATCAGCCACGATCTTTTCCGATTAACGTTGTCATAAACAATCCACTTTTGGTCGCCAGTAATCAGACGTTTCAGAAACGGATCAATTTCGTTGCGTTTCAGAAGCGAGTCGCCGATGCTAATGCGTTGCGTCAAATGAATATTCTTAAGCTGATGAGGGAACCGTAAATCGAGTTTCTTGACATAGCCAAGCTGTTTTAATTTTTTTTTCAATGCATGCACGCGATACATTGAGCTTCACTGCAATCTCACATGGCGCTATGACGATCTGAATCTGAATATCTGATAATTTGGCAAACCAATTTTCACACTGCCTTTCTTTCAACTTCATTCCCATATACGGCACGTACCTTTTTGGAAATAATACAATAAAATATGTCTGAAATGCTCGTCTTGTTCTTGCATATTTAAATTGGGATAAAAACGAAACCAAACAACTGATCGATACAATTTTCTTGCTAAATGAAAGGTGGCAGTCCAAACATCAAGAAAACAATATAGGTTAGGTGCTTTGAACACGTTTACAAAACAAAAGACTGTGCTAAGACCATCTATTGACAGAATTGACAATCGCTTAGCTGCCAACCATAGCCAATGCTATATTTTACATGTGAACTCCAGGTATACAAATATACTGTTTCGATCAGTTCAGATAAATGCAGTTCTACTGTCATTGCAATGTGACCAATCGTTGGAATGAAGAAAATCACTTAGCGGTAATGTAGTTTGTATAATATTTGTTCATTTATATTTCTCCTAACCTATTCATACATTTCAATTCACATATATATATTCTCAATGTGTTTCTCAGGAAAATTTGTGTACAAAATGCAAGCGTAACAAGCGTTGTACAGTTTGTGAAACGAGATCAATGTCTGTCACACAGGATATTGGCGGTTCTCTTACTTGGACTACAACTTTCACCAAAAATGTAACTGAAGAAACACAGTGTAACGCAAAGGATTTCATGAAAATAGTATCTGAACGAATGTTTTTCGTTAGCTGACCCAGATATTGATCATCAGCAGGATTGCGGTTCGTACGAAACGCAATAACATTTCCAGCTCGTCTTCCTGTTTGTCAGTGCATTTCCTCTCATCGTGAAACGTCGGCGTATCGCTAGACTCGCATATTTCGTTGCGGCGGAGTGCGGGATAGGAGGAAGAGCCGTGGCCGATCCATCAAAACTGTGTGTCAGTAGCCATTAGCACGCTCCCAGCGGCACAGCATCGAGTGCTACCGCCTCTACATCCCCGGGTCCGCTGAATGCTGCCGAGCTTACTGTACTTTGCACCTACTTGCTCGCGGAAAAATTTGTTTCTCAGCGGGAGACCCTCGGGCCAATTTCTCTCCTCTTCAGCTCCATCGTACTGTCATCTTTCTTCTAACTTCTCCGGGATTAAGTTACCAAGCTGATGGTGTACCAAAGCCATCCTCCATAATGGAGAAATTGTGGAGGAAACCGGGGTGCTTTCCAAGATATAAGACGACTTCTCAGAGGCTGGAGATTTTCTTGTGTAGCGTCTGTTGCGATAGAAATATTACCTTCGTTTCAATTGTTTTCTCTGGAATTTCAACTATTTTCCACCAGGTTTCTCACGGACCAGCGACTGCAGATATTATTTAACCCTTTACACTCCTTTATCGAGTCCCTGTCGACATTCTTTCAGTCTCATCTTTTTTTATGAAACCAGCATTGCATCCTGGAAATTGTTTTAAGATATATACGCCTAAAAATTAGAAAAATTGAAAT